CGTAGCCAGTCACTATACTGACTGAGCTATCGCCGCTCACCACATATAAGCACAGTACTTCTGTGAAAGCCTGAAATCTTGTATAAAACACTGAACAGTACATTAAAATGCACCAATTTAAATCTGAAGTATGACATCACTCTCGGAATAAGCCATATCAATGTACAAGTCCAGTAGTACAGTGTGTATCATGAAATCTCAAAAAGGAAGTCAATGTAATTCTGTTGAGAGTATTGTGGAAACCATTTTTTGCGCTGTTAAATAGAGTCGTAAGGTATACTCCAATGGAAAAACATTGCAAATTACCTAACCTGCTATTTACACTGCACACATCAGTTTCCTTGTATTTTGTTATGAAGAGCCGTCGTCGTCAGAACATTTCAGAAGTTCCCTGTGTGTGATCAACACACACTTCAGATTAAGGAACAAGCAATGGGTCACAACATTCTGCCATTTGTCCCCTATTTATTGTAATCGCCACCAAGGTTGACCACTCTTCTCCTATTTAAGGTACATGATCCTTCATATTGCTGTAGTTCTGTTGGTGGCAACTGCAGTTTCAAGCAAGTGTTCTTAAATTGTCTTTGTCACTGAAGCAAACAAAAAGTAGTTTCTTAGTAATGTGTTATTGTTGTCCTAGGAAAAAACAAATTCTTTAAAACCCTGTAATTCAGTTGTTTGTGTCTGTTGTCAGACTATTGCTGCCTATTCTACAGCACTCAATTCCTCTGTTTGTTCAGTCACGTCCTTTCCCCTGAGATATTCGCCCTGATGATGACAACCACAATGTTTACTGCAACATTTGATTCAGGTTATCGCTGAAAGTCAAAAATTATAGCAATCCCAGCTGCGTAAACCTAAGGACTGGAATCAGTCTTGGGTTATTTGCAATCCTAGTGCTTCATTAGATTCCATCTGAAGCCATTTTGTTTCTTAAAATTATTTTTTCTATAAGGACATTTTAATAATAATGTCCATCTGTCTGACACAGTTTCTGAAAAGCTGTTTTTCTGAGAATATTGAAGTGGCTGGCAATGTAGTACATATAGAATACAGTTCTGATAGATCTGATACTATTTGTCAGTTATTTTTTAATATATTCTTATGCATAGTAGTTTCTGTGGTTTTATGTTTGTTACGCAGGTACCAGAAGAGCACTAATTCTTATGCCCCATACAACAAGGACTGGATCAAGGAGAAAATATATGTACTGTTGCGACGCCAGGCAGCACGTTCACAGTGAGTGGTGAATACAGTTTCGTATGTGCCGTGGTCTGTGGCCCCATTTGTTCCAACATTTCAAGATTTGTATTTATTTTTTTGGTTGCTTTGCTGCATTGATGGCCAAATATCAGTGCATCAAAACAACTCGGCATTTTGCATCCAATATATGTACATTTCACTGTCTGACCTGCAACTGACAATTGTGTAGTGTTGAGAAGAGGACTATGACTTTGGCAGTGGTATCATTATTTGTTTAAGTACCTTATCAGGCTCAAATTGGAACAGTCTGGCACATGGCCATCTTGTTCATAATATCTTTATTTTCTGGAATTACTCTGGTTTGAAGGGACTATGTAATGACTATTACATTTGCCCATAATGTTTCAATTTGAACACTGATATTTGAGATATTAAATGATTGAAAATTAATGTAAAAGTGTTTGCATAGAAAGGTACAACTTTAATTGTATTGAAATAAAGTATTCTATTGTTTTAGTAGATTTAATTCATATACTTATCGGTTCCACATGAATAACTACAAACTTGAATTTTATTTTGTTTATACTTCTGCATATAACATTTTTGTGTGATAGTAGTGAAAGGGTTTACTGAACTGAGATATATTATGGAGTTTTATTTGCAGTATAAATGCAAGATATGTATTTATATTGAAGGTTGCATTTCATAATTTTGTCATACATCATCTGTAGTCAGTTATTAATTACATGTTCCATATTGTTTGGTATATCATGCTATTAAATAATTTCATGTTTTTGTATTTGGTTTTCAGTTATTATGCTTATGAAGTTTCACATCTTAGAATTATTTATTGTTGTAGGGTTAAAAGGGTATCAGTGTAAACTGTAATTCAGTTTTGAAATTAGTGTCTAGAACCAAAATTTGAATCTTTTTTTTTTTTGAGATTACATCAAAGTTCTGAACAAAATGGTGATTGAAGTCATGCTTTATTAATTTAATATGATCATATTGTAACACATTTGTTAAAAATATGATGCAAAACAGAAATGCCGGTGCCTGTAAAGTAAATAAAGTGAGAAATTTCAGGAAATTTGTCACTTAATTACAGGTTTATGAATTGTATGATTTAATATGAATTAATTTGTTTGCCATTGATGATGACCTCTTCAAGTCGAAACGTGTTTCGCACTAAGTGTCTTTTCACAGTGTATACAGTTTTTGTTTGTATGCACTGCCTGAATTTGCATGTAGTACACTGCAATAATCACCTCACTGCTGTCATTTACTGGTTCACATCTGCCTCAAAGCTACTGCAAACTGCCTTATGTAGATCCAGTAACCGTTTCTCAGACTTTTTCCATGGTACTAGAATATACCAGGAGTTTCAGGTCCTGGTAACAGAATTTAGAATCTCATAAGCTTCCCCTAGCAGCATGCTGATGTCACTGAAATCTCTGCGTGGAGGACTCCTGCTGTACGTAGCTTCTTAGGTGGCACAACCCAGAACTTCCATGGCTGATGCTTGTGACTATTCATTTCCTGTACAGATTTTGTAATGGGAATGATGTGGCTACTGTAGTGAAATATTACCAGCACTTCCCAAATAACCAAATTATTCAGTCAGAATGAGTTTGCAGTGTATACAGAATTTTGAGAGATTGATTTCATGCCCCACAGAATGTGAGCAGCTCAAGTGTGACAAGGAAGGTGATACACTGTTGTTCAGCATAGGACACATAAAAAGTTTATGAATTTTTGTGAAGGCTGGTATGCCAGAATCATAAGCATACAAGACTTTGCATGATGATGTTTATACCTTTCCACATCCAAAAAGTGCAACAACTTGTACCAGGGGATCATACCAAATGTGTACAGGTTTGAATATGGTTTCAAGGACAGCCACAGCATATGAATTGTGTGGCATTCAGTGACGAGGCTTAGTTTTAGCATAATGGTATCACAAATACAAGAATTGCACTGGTCAGATGACAGTTCAGTCCACATGATTTTTGATAGATATATGGTGCAGAATAGTGTCTTTGTGGTTTACATTTCATTGAAGGATACCTGTTTCACATAAATAGGTATAGGTCAGATACTAGAGAAAAAATGGGAGTTCGGTGGGACCGTACATCAGTTATTTATAGATTTCAAAAAAGCCTATGACTCTGTGAAGAGAGAAGTGCTATATAATATTCTTATTGAATTTGGTATACCAAAGAAGCTAGTGGGTCTAATAAAAATGTGCTTAAATGAAACCTGCAGCAAAATTCGAGTAGGTAAATATGTATCTGAGACATTCCTCATCAAGAACGGTCTAAAACAAGGAGATGCTCTGTCTCCCTTGCTCTTTAACTTTGCGCGAGAATACGCCATCAGGAAGGTCCAAGATAGGCAGGAGGGTTTGCAATTGAATGGGACACATCAGCTATTGGCATAT